ATCCATAGATGAAGGCTTTCCAATGAGATAATTAACACAAGGATCAATGTCTTTTATCCTGTATGATGCAATGCAAACAGAAAAATAAAGAACACACAAAAAGAAAATAAATTAGTTACATAATAAAGAAATTTAATAATAACATTTACATAAATATTCTTTATTTAAACATGCTTTTCTGAATTTAAATAATTTAAATAAACATGTAATTTAAACAATAAATAAATTAACAGAAAAGACAGAATTCATTTCTCCTGTGTGTACACCTATTTTGGACAAAATTTTGGCATGACTTCGGATCGGAAGAGTTTCTAAGGTTTTTTATATGCAAGGTTTCAGATCTAAGAATAAAGGTACCCGAATTGTCCATGTTAGTGCCTCCTTAGGCTGCTAACCCTCAATCCTAGTCCATTACAGACTAAAGTGGATCGAGTTCAATTCGAGGGGATACATTTCTCTATGTCGGACACGGAGAATAAATTCTCACGAAAACATAGAGTATATGAACCCCGAAAGTTACTTGCTAGGTCTGACACGGAGAATAAATTCTCACGAAGACGTCGCTTTCACTCCCACTTAAAAGGGACAACTCAATTATAGAGCTTTATGTTATGCAATGCAAGTGTTGTGTGTGAGGAGAAATGTTCAAACCTTTGACATAAAAATAAATACTGAAATAAAATACTTGTAAATAAAACATATAAATATTATAAAAATAATAAAAAATTTGAAAAGAAAGAATTAAAAATTAAATATATAAATTTTTAATTTTTGACTAATAGAGACAATTTATAATTGATTTTTAAAAGTTTGACCAAAGGTCCCCAGCGGAGTCGCCAAGCTGTCGTAACCGGTTTTCGTCCGGGCACGAAATATTATAATTTCTGGCGGGGAAATTGATGTGAATAAATGGTTTTGAAAATAATTTGGGAGTCGCCATCGGCCTTTTGGGTCAGGTAGGTCGAATACCTAAAAATTATCTTTTAAAAAAAAGTTTTTAAGAAAACATTATTTAAAAGATGAACTGATCTGCGTTTTATAACCAAAAATTCGTTCTTTTTAATAATAAAAAGGGATTCGTGGTCGGTTACGTTTAGGGAAGGATTAGCACCCCTACAACGCCCAAAATTGGTACTTTTTAATTATAAATTGTCTCTATTATTAAAATTTTAAAAATTCAAAAATATGTTTAATTTATAATTCTATTATTTCAAAATTATATAAAAAATTTATTTATTTATTTAAAAATATCAGAAAAGAACTTCTAGGTGCCTTAAGACAGCTCTTTTCTTTGATATTGATAAATATTAATTTAAATAATTATTTACTTTTTAATTTTAAAATATCAGAATAGGACATCTAGTTGTATTAAGATTGTCCTTTTCTTCGATATTAAAAATAAATATTTAAAAATTACTATTTATTATATATTTATGAATAAAAATATTTAACAATAAAATAAAAATTCTACTAAAACAATATATTTAAAAACAATAAAATAAATGAAGACATATAAAATAAATAACTAAATTATAATTAAAATAAAACTAAATCTAATTCCTAATTAATTGAAATTATAGGGATTAAATATTTTATTTTCTAATTTAATAATTTAGTGACCAAAATAAAATTATCTAAAATTCGAATTTTATAATAAATTAAATTAAAAATATGAACTAGGGATTAAAAAATTATTTATTAAAATTAAGGGATTAAATTTGTTATTTATCCTAAATATATTATTTTAATAAAAAGGACTAAAATGAACAAAATTAAAATTCAAAGACTGAATTAAAATTATTATAAATTCAGTTTAGTGACCAAAATATAAAATTTACAAGTTGGGAGGACTACGGACGGGTTTTAACTATTTTGTAATTACGCGCATAGTCCTTCCCGAAACGACGTCGTTCGGGAAGGACTATAAATGGTCCAAACCGGCTGGCCCGAAGGGCCAGCCATTTCATTTCTTTTTTTTTTTTCTTTAAGCAGAAAGAGAGAGAGAGAGAGAGAATTCTCTCTGGCCTCTCTCTAGATTCCCTCACCGGAGGGAATTCGGCAGCCGTCTGCCGCCGCGAGTGTCCCCGCCGGCCACCGCATCCGGTGGCCGGAAAATTTATTTTTATACTATTGGATAGATCGGACCGTCCTAAGGACGGTTCCGATGTTCTTTTTCCTTAAATGGCTCCCAATCGGAGTAGATCTATAAATATACCTTCGGTATTTTCGGTTCTCCGGCGATGTTCAGTGTTTCCGGCGACGGTCAAGGCTTCCTTGGTAAGCTTCTCTCTCTTTTTCCTTCTGTTTTGTTTTTGCTCTGTTGGGATCGTTGGTAGTTTTATATCTCTCTCTATTTTCCTTTTTTTTTTCTTTTTGGTTCTGTCTCTGTCCCTGGTTTTTTGTCTCCCTTTTCTTCTTTTTCTTTCGCAGATGGGTGGTGGCTTTTATAGCCACCACCGGTGTTCGTCTCAGACCGGTCCGAAGAGGGGGCCTCGGTGAGTCACCGGACTACCAGTGGTGACTCACCCCGTAGCCTTGCATGGACGGCTGGCGTTGATCTTCTGGAAGTATCATTCGGGACGTGGCAGCGGCGGAGGCGGTGAGGGCTTCTAGAAGCAGCGGCGGCAGCGCTGGGACGTGTCCCTAGGGTATAGATACCCTAGGGTTTCCTCTGGCAACTGGTGGACCGTTGGATCAAACCAGATCCAACGGTTGAGATTGAAGATGGCGGCTGGCTAGATTAGGGTTAGGAAACCCTAACTGGAAACCCAAATATTTAGGGTTTCTGGTTGGATTTGGACCAGCTCTGGTTGGTTTGTAACTGGGCCGGTCCAATTGTAATTGGGCCTGTAATTATATTTTTTATTATTTATTTATTTTTAATAATATTTATATGTATTTAATATATTTAATAATAATAGTAATAATAATAATAATAATAATAATAATAATAATGATAATAATAATAATGATAATAGTAATAATAATAATAATAATAATATTATTATTAATAATAATAATATGGATAAAAAATTAGTATCTTCAAGTATAATTTACTTGATTTACGTTATAATAAGTAAAAACAATTTCCAAAGCTAAATTAATAATATATTTTTTATTATTTATCTTAAAAATATTTAATAGCATAGATAGTAATTTAAAGTCAAAACTTAAATCAAGTATAATTTAACTAGGAAACAGTAAATAGAAAATCCAATAATCAATATATAGGAAAATTATTTTGCGACTGTTTTATAAATTTAATTATTATTTATAATTTTTTTAAAAATAAATAATTTGAATATGATTTTTTTGAAGGATATTTTAATATAATTTATCTTAAGACGAAAATATGGAAGAGTGGACAGCGGCGAACATGGAAATTGAAGGCAGAAGAAGACGGTGAAAGGGGTACCTTTGGAGTTGACCTAAAACAGAACACCAGCAACAACAGATCAAAGCAGATGAGGTGACGCCATCAATTGTGTGAATTTGTTTAGAGTATGGTCTTCCCGAGGGCTTTTTGTTCCACGTGTCTTTTCTCATGCCATGCAACAATTCCGTCCCCTCTGCTTCCACGGCAGAGTCTTGTATACGTTTCTCCTCTTCCTCCAAATTTCAATCTAATTACGCTTCCCTCGCCAACTATTCCCACAGCCTAAAGTTAGGCTAGGCTACACTGTTCATAACCACTGCACTATTTTGCAGTTTTATTCTCCCCCACGGTAAGACGGCTACACTGTGGGATGTGAACGTTAATCTTAATATATAGTTAAAAAATATTTTATTAAAAATATTAATAATTTTTAATATTTTTGGTAAATATTATTTAAAATATTATTTTTTTTATCAAAAATTTTAATATTAGACGTTATTTAAAATATTTAATATTTTCTATAAAGTGTTATCTAAAATATTTTTTTTACTAAAAATGTTAATATTGAGATTTATTAAATTAATTAACGAAATTAATATCTTTTGGTAAAAATTAATATTTTAAGTAATAACTTCTTTATTTATCCGTATATTAAAGTGACTGTAGATCTACCTATGCTGTACTTGGATTCTGTTAGGCAGTAACAACCGAGGCAGAGATATAATGTATATCAAACTCTACCTATATATTAATATGAAAAAGAAATAAAATGAAATTTATGATAATAAAAATAATATAGAATAATTATAAAATAATTTTTATTTTTTAATTATTGATAATATTTTATGGATTTAAATTTGAGTACTTTAATTAGATCTAGGCGTATTTACAGTAAAATTATTGATTTTTTATTTACTTATTATACACCATTAGAGAAAATATTATAAATTTAACATCTTTTGCACAAAGTAACGGCCTATTCAATGCACTTTACGTTGATGTGTCGTTATGTGTTGAAAGACGCAATTCATAAATCGTCCTTACTCCAGCTACAGTCACATCAGCTTAAGAAGTAGTGTATGAGCCGCACCTTTTTACTAGCTGACATACGTGTCAGAAGGCGCGATGTATGAATCGCGCCTTTCATAATTAAATCCTAACCGTTCACGCTCCGCTCACCCATCTATCCAAACCCCATCTCATCCTATAAATACCCTACCTCTCAACTATTTTCATCACACTAAATCTTCTCAAACTATATTAAAAATCAAATCTTCTATACTGTACTTATACATTAATATGAAAAAGAAATAAAATAAAATTTATGATGATAATAATATAGGATGATCTAAATTAATAATTATTTTTATTTTTTAATTATTGATAATATATATTTGTTGGATTTAAATTTGAGTACTTTAATCAGATATACGGGTGAAATAGTCACTGTCAGTGTAATATCATCTCGAAACGACGGCTGATGGACTCTGATCCTCAGTCACTTGTACAGCCTGTCACCACCAACTTACAGGCTGGCAACCTCTGCTCACTGCTCTCACAAAAATGCTTATTACACATCACGACGAAATCCTACGACGCACTCACTTGTTCCTCTCTCCCTCTCTCTCTTATATATAAACTCCCCCCAAGCCCGATCTTCCACTTGCCCATTCACCAAGTCCAAGCTCAAGCCTTTTCAGTTCCAAAAATATACGATAGCCGCATTAAACTCCACGAATCTGGAAAATGGGTATTTGTAGCTCTTGCGATTCGACGCATGCAGCCACGGCCAAGCTGATTCTCCAAGACGGGAGATTACAAGAGTTCCCTTACCCTGTCAAGGTGTCTTGCGTTCTACAGACAAACCCTGCGTGTTTCATCTGCAACTCCGATGAAATGGACTTCGACGACGTCGTGTCCGCCATCGAAGAAGACGAGGAGCTTCAGCCCGGTCAACTTTACTTTGCCTTGCCTTTGAGTTGTCTTAAACATCGCTTGCAGGCTGAAGAAATGGCTGCATTGGCTGTTAAAGCTAGCTCCGCTTTGATGAAAAGTAATAACCGTCGTGAAAAATGTGGGTGCAGATGTAAATCCGTTACCCCTTCTCCGGTTTCAGAGGAGTCTCGTCGTCGGAAAGTTGCCTCCGCAGGCAGTACCGGCGGTGGTGGGAAGAGAGGGAGGAGAAAGTTTAAGGCTATGTTGAGTGCTATTCCCGAATAGGGCGGGGTTTATTTGGGGAAAACATGATCGATATTTTTGTAAATAAGCAATGAAGTTGAGGAGCTGTTAGTTTAATCGTCGGTAGAGATGGAGGTGATTGACCGTCATGGTCAGTGGCGGACCAGAAATTAAAAATCGAGGGTATAAAATTATAATATTTAAAAAATAATAATGAGTGTGTAAATTTTTTTAATATATTAAATTACATTTTATATTTTCCCTTAAATAATGAGATGCACTTAATCTTCTAGCTTGATGCATCCGCCCTGTCATGGTGGATGTGTTGACCTTAAAGTTAAAAATTCTAGTAAGGGTCGTGTTACAGTTTTACCCCTATTTGGGTCAAAAATCAATTTCACCCAATCATATCTTTCATTTATCACTAATGGAGTATTTAAAATAATCAATTTAATTAATGTCATGAATCTACTCGGCAGAAACAATCTTAATAGATCGACATTTAAATTATTCTTTTCGAATTAGGCAACTAAATGAGGGAGACTTGCATCAAAGGCATTTTATAAAGGGATGAGTGTTGGATTCGGGTTTAGATAAGTTCTCACTTGATTTTATTTTTCTTTCTTTTAAGAAAATTGAGTTAAGATTAAGTCAGATTAGATTGCATGTAAACCTATAATCTTTCTTCTTGTTGGAAATGGGGCAGACTCATATCATCATCAAACTCAACTTGCACTGAAAACCTCTCTCTAAGCTCTCTTCATTATTGGCTGGAATTTAAACTCAAATAAATTGCTTACAACTAAGAGTTAGTTGAAAATGCTTGACCATTAGATGGTATATCAACTTAACTGAACAATTGCCTGTTTGGTTCCTCGGAAAATTACCATGCATGAAGACAAACAAGTGGGGACTGGGGAAAGTAAAATCATAATTTTCAAGAGTGGAGGGACCATGACCAACAAACACCCAAACCATCCATCATTTCACACAAGTTGGTGGTCCTTGGCTTCTCGTGAGTTGGTCCAAATTTAGATGGAATTGCATTCAATTATTTCTTTAATTAAGGCATATGTATATGCGCACATACATATACTACTATCCAATTAATGTCTTCGATTATCATTCTAAAACCAGGATCAAAGTGTACTAATCATCTTTTAAATTGCGGCCAATAATTTTAAGGGTAAAGGACAGAAATAATCCTTCGACTATAGGAAATTGTTTTATTAAGTCCATCGACTATTAAAAGTTATAAAATTATCACCTGATTATACATTATATTTCAAACTTGTGCTTTTTCATTAGGAATTGCTAGTTGTATAAGTTGGACGTTAACATGATGACCTAGATAAGATAGTCAATTGAAAATTTGGATCAAATTTTATCAGATCACAGTCAGCAGGTTTAAAGTTTAACTTAAAATACCATTAATTTTTTAATAAAAAATGACGAGTTTGTAACATAATAAATAGTTGGGTGATAATTTTATAACTTTTAACAGTCGAGGGACTCAAGAAAGCAACACTATAATTGGAGGATAGTTTTTGTAACTTTTAATAAGCAAAAGATTTAATAAAGTAGTATCCATTAGTCGAGAGACCATTAATATACTTTACCCTAATCTTAAATGGCAAGATGAATACAAATACAGTAATATAGATCCCACTAGCTTTTCTCTCTCTTTTTTTTCCCTTACAAATACAGTAATATAGGTCACACTAGCTTTTCTCTCTTTTTTTCCCCTTGCGTGCTACTTTGCTAAAATAAATATTCATGCCTTGAGGGCCTCAACTATCTTGATCATAGGCTCCTGTTGGATTTGTATACAGCTGTTTCTCGAATAAATTTGGAGTTCTTTGGAATTGAATTAATTTCGATGGAGAATTAAATACTTCATCCATAAATCACACGATGAATTAATATATTTCATGCTGTCTTTCTCTTTTTGCATGTTTCTCCAACTCAATGTCTAAATGGGAAATAATCATGTACTATAGTTTTAATATACAATAAAAAAATTATCGGTTTTGTGATTATTTAAATAATAAAATCGATAAAAATTTACCGGAAACATTATTATTTCTAATGGTTTTATTATTTTTTCTACCGATTTTGTTATTGTTGGACACTTTACCGAAAATGTTAAAAAATATTGATGTTTTGGATGAAATAATAATGTTTTAGGTAATTTTTTTACCGATTTTATTATTTAAATAATAACAAAACTGATAATATTTTTTTAATTATAAATTAAGAATATCGCACTGTAAAAATTCTCACGTCGAAATAGGATAACTCTGCTAACAGTAAAATGAATTTATATTTTATCGTCGATATCTTTCTTTTTTTCACTGCTTGTACTTCAACAAAATCCCAACTGTAACTTATTTTCTTTGCTCATAGTTCGTGTAATTGGACGGGTATATATGATTAGGTAACCTTGGATGCCCTACAGCCATTAATTCTATTTGGAGCATATTTACTTTTTTCTTTTGATTTTAGGGCAGATCTCTGGGGACTTTATTAACCTACGAAATAGTAGATACAGGGCCCCCTCTCCTTATCAAAATACTGAAATGTTCAACTAGAAATATTGCTTATGACTACGTACAATGAAACAGGTATGAAACACGAGTGGTCCAAACAAGGCCATAACGTGGAGCTTCAAAAAGCATGATTATTATTTCACATTTGATTCATCGTAGTAAAATTGATAAAAATAATCTAATCAAATCTAATTAATTTTCATTTTAGAATTTGATCAGAAATATTTGTCACGACTGCATTTTTAAAACCAATATATCTAATATATATTATAAGTTTATAACACTCATAATCAGGGATGAAACTGGGCGGGGGCGGATAGGGAAAGTCGCCCCTAAAATTTTATAATAATCATATATTTTAATTTTTTATGTGTTTTCTTTTGAAATTTTGTTTTCACCTCCACTTCTAAAATTGTATAAATTCAAGTTCGTCTCTCCTAACATAAGATCATGTGTATGTCTATGCTCATAACGGTGCATTGTCGATGTTTCGGTCTATAAAAAACATATCATAATTTGAGGTTAGATAGAAGGAATTTTGGCGAGAATAGGACATGGATGTTGGATTTAAACAAGCATTGAAATTGACAAGATATAAGAAAACAAATGAAAGTGGGGATATGGGAGAAAATGAGTAGAGAATCATTTGAACAATTGTTGATGGAAATGTGGACAATTTAGACTCACTGTCTTGTTACCGACGTTCTATTATTGGTCACCATATTTACCATGGGCCCTTTTAAGCTCCAATATTTTTGGTTGGGTCGGACTACATTACTCCATCTATTATCAAGTTGATAATTTATTAAATAACTACAAATAATCATAAATTTTAAGTACCCCAAAGTTTTATTAACCCTGCATTTACCAATACAATAACGAAAGAGCTTATAAACATCGAAATCTCATAAATTAGAAGTAAATAAATGGTAAAACCGTGCATAAAGTCATTTGCGGTTTGTTGAAGTGTGAACACAAGACATTGGTGTGTGGCACAAAACTACAAGAACAAAGCCGGTGGGTGCCTTTTTTACGTCAAATGTGACTTTCGTGGATCCTATTACCCTCAGGAAAGGGTCTCTAAATTCTAAAGTTCGAATCATGTTTTTTTTACTCTTTAGTTTGGGCATTGAAATTTAAGCACTGCGGTCCAATATAAATCTAAAGTTTGACTCTTTTAGGACCCTTCCATCAATTTTCGCTTTGGGAAATCTTCGATATAAGAAAAATATATTTACCTACGCAAAATCAAATAGAAAATTTTATGTGAGAGGAAATAAACTTATAAAATGTTAGAAGAACGAAAGTATATCAATATAATATAAAATATAAAATATTGAATTTTTTTGCAATCGTCTCCATATATACATAAATGAATTGAATAATAATAAAAAAAATCTCACATTGAAAACCTACTATAAAATATTGCATCCAGGGCAAGGCAGGCATATCAGGAGTAATTAAGGGTGCGTTTGGATGGGAAAAAAAGATTACCATGGAAAAAGTTTTTTCCAGAATGTGATATCCATATTGGGATTGCAAAGATTCTCAATAAAGGGTAATAAGTCATTCTCAACAATGATATTTTGGGGGCTTATTACCAGAAATGTCATTCCCCTCAATTCCTTAGGTATTAATATTTTCTCATGACTTTAGACTAAAATGCCCTTAAAACAATTTTTTTCTTCAAAAATATCATTCTCCTAACCGTTGAATAAAAAAATTCTACCAAGGGTAAATTACAAATTTATCCTTAAACTATTTTAGATTTACAAAAAAAAGTCCACAATTAGAATTTTATATGAAGTTCTGGGGTTAAAATAAAATTAAACCCTTTCATTAAACTAATTTATCTTTTAAATTTTGTAAAAAAAATTATATAAATTTTATGAATTTAAATTTTTTAAAGAAAATATATAAATATATAAATTAAAAATAATAAAATAATATATTTTTTATGATCTTTTGTACAAATATTTTCTTTTGAATATTTAGAATTCAACTTGTTTAAAAAATAAATATAAAACAATGACAATTTAGTAAAATATATATTCAAATAATCTTTTATTCCTTTAACCAAATATTGTAATCTTATATTCTTGCTAAACAAATCAGACACAACAATGCAACATTCCCAGTAATGTGTTAGGTAATGTTACATTTCGATAATCCTATTTCTGGAAGTAATGCAACATTCCATGAACCAAACGCACTCTAATCGCATAAAAAACCTAATATATATATGCAGGGCCGGTTTTGGGCCTGTGCGGGCTGCCCAACCGCACATGGCCCAATTTTTATAAGGGCCTCCAAATTTTTTAAGTCTTTTGTAGATATAGTATATATATATATTTAAGATGTTTGACCCAAGAATTTTCAAGTCCAAGGCCCACATTATTACATGAAGATATTTTTTACCACTATTTAACGTTTTCTTATAGTTATAATAAATTTTAAAATATTAGTGAACTTCTTTATATATCTAATATTTTAATTTTAAAATGCTTATTTTACTATTACTATTATGGTATAGGGCCACCAAAATTTACAAGACGGTTCTGTATATATGTATTCGACACCGCAATCAAATCCTGTTCTAGACTTTCCTGAAACACCCAAGAAAAATAAAGTTGTTAAAAAAAGGCTAAATGGGAACCTATATATCCTCAAATTCAAGCTCAAAATCTGGCAAAACTGTAGGAGGAGGAGGACCGCGTGGCGTCAAACGGTCATCGACAGCAGCCAAGGTGGTTCACTTGGAAGGTCGTGTTCAAGAGTTCAGGCAATCAGTCCAAGCCAAGAACATCGTTTCTCAGAATCCTGGTCACTTCCTCTGCAGCTCCGAGTCGATGTCTATTGGGACATGCGTGCCACATGTCCTCGATGAGAAGGAGCTTCAACCGGGACAAGTTTACTTCTTGCTGCCACTCTCCCAATCCGATAAACCCCTTTCCTTGCCGGACTTGTGTTCCCTCGCCATTAAAGCTACCGCTGGCTTTGGCAGACACAGTGTGGACCTCTCCTCCAGTAACTCCAAACTCATCCTTAGGTGATGGAGGTGGTAAGATCGACATGTTCTTTTTTTTCCATTAATGTGATTAATATTGTATGATTTAGATTGTAAAAGTCAACGTTTTTTGGATTGATGTTTTCACTTTAGGAAAGTAGTCAATTTATCCAACTTTGTTAGCCATTGATCAAACCCAAACTTGCCACGGCACCCAGTGAGGCCTATCACCTATGGCTAGTATTCTTGCTTACTCAACCCATGTTTTGCTGCATTACTTTGATAAGTTCAACTCTAAAACTTTCTTTCTCAATCGTCACCTGATGGTTTTGGATGCTTTTGTAGTGTCTTTTTATCATTTGTTTTGGGACAGATCATTGAATTCATCGCCATTTTTGTTCCCTCTGAAGCTTAATATTATAAACTCAAATGGAATTGTAAATACAACCATATCAAATGAGAACGGCTTGGACTAAACACCTTCCAATCCTACTAATGCACCGAAGTTTTGCAGTAACAGTTGAATTCAATTAGAAAATAATTCATTAGGGTGTTAGGGAATTTTAATGTTTAACGTAACATATCGGAGATCATGATATGCTTAACAGATTTCTTTCACTCTTCAAAACCGAGAAGGAACTGCAAAGATAATTTGAATTCAAATTTCATGATACTCACTTATCAGATCGTGTCAAGGGGACTGTAACTAAGATACCTTTTTCAATTCGAAAAAGACAATGTTATGTCTATTGTCATCAAATTAATTATCTTTTTGAGTTTGGATTCAAGCTAAAGGAAAATATATAAAATGCACTGATCCCCATGAACTTTATACTGATTCATTGACATAACCTGACCAAAACTATTTATCACCAAGTACATTGTCACCGATGGCCAAACCACCTTGGTTTCAATTCTAGTTCCAGCTATTTGCCATAACATAGACGACGGATAGTGCCAGCAGCGGGACCTGGCAGAATTCCAGGAAGCACAGAAGCAATTAAGATTCAAGAGCTACAATTTTGGTCGGACCTCTCAAGTGGAGTGAGCAACTAGACAATGCCAATAGGCTTCCTTGCTAAGTGCCTAAGTGCCAAGGAACAAAATGGGTTCTCACTCAGTTTGCAGGCCTGACAGTCACAGATCACATGTATGGAGCAAACCAGTCATTGGGTTTAGTGGAGCACCAGGCGACCCATCCATGGATTGTTGAAAGTTCTGAGAAGATGATAGAATCAGCTCGAAAAGGGTTTTTCTCGTACAGTTTTTTCCCCTTTTACAGTTTGGGTATGACTGAGGACTTTGTTAAGTATGATTAATTATGAAAATAACCATGGAAGGTTGGTTCTATGTTATTTTTAACTTTAAGCAACTGAATTGGGAAGTATAGTCGGCTAAATCTGAATCACTCGGCTGACAGAGCAGACCGCGTGCAAAGAGCAAAGCTGTGCAGTGTGCTCAACGTGACGAACATGGTTGAGCCCAATTCTCTATATTTCACCAACATGGACAGAATTTTTAAGTCAAATTATGAAATGGGTTCACGTGCTGGTGCAGGAGACCAACTGAAATTTAGGATAGGCATATTTAGAGTCAGATGCTCAAGTTGTGTAATTTGTGTTGGTATTGGGCTGGCCCAGTTGCAGAGCCATGCGTGCATGAATAAATGGATGCTTGAAATGATTTCTAAGGAAGAGCTCATACCAAAACTGTATACAAACCTTAATGCACATTGCACTACACAGCGTAATAACATTTACGTCACGGAATATACCCTATTTCTACTTTGTACAGGGAAAATTTGAAATCTTACAAAATGGAAAATAGTCTATTTCATCATGCTCGAGCTCCATGCCATCAATGCATACAAGCAATCATCTTACGAGTTCTTTAGATATTAGATACCTGAAGGTGAAATTGTGAGGAATCCACTCAATGCTCTTGCGGGATTTGTTTACTGGACATTTTCTGATGCTTTTACGAAGGGATTCAGGCAAAGATTGTTGGAGCATTTCGATGAGGCCAGCTGGACATAAACTTGAGTCCTTTGCAAATGATTCTACGATCTTTGGTAACAGAATTTTCAGGTCTTTGCGGACACCAAATGAGGCTCTGATGTACTCTTGTTTTGCAGTTTCCAGCTCTTGAAATACTTTCTTCGGTGTATAGGCACGGACCTAAAAAAAGAATAAGTATGATAAGGAGATAATTTACATAAAGTTGACACCAAAGGGAAACTTCAAGGCCAACTAAATAAATCCAACATCTGTCAACTGGTTCATAAACAATCCTATCATTGGTCCTAATAGTAGGGGTGAAAAAACTCAGATCAAAGATGATATAGTACTGCAGGATCGGAATGGTTTCCCGAACAAAGAGCAAAGTGTAGAAGTGGTTCTGGATGTTCAATTGCATATGCCTGCCTTCTATCTCCAGTTTTAAACTTTGTCCTCGAAGAAATTAATAATCGGAGCCACTACAAGCAGAAGAACCCTTAGTCAACTCCAGTTTTAAGTAATTAGAGATTCAAAATCAAGGACAGGGAAGACGAAGATTGAGATCTACCTGTACAGGACGAGACATACGACACCCAAGGATGGAACTCTGTATTGTATCTGCATTGATGGTGTGACCCCCAATGTTATATGCAGCCTGTATAGTACAACTATGAGATAATGCATACCAGTCTAGTTTCATTATTCATGAGAAGCAAAAATGAAGCCAAGTTTGGTTACCCTCGAAAGTAGAAAGAATCTCTTCACATTATTTTGTGGAATACCATGAGCCAGAAATGCCTATATCATGGAAGAAGAGGGAAGACCGAGTATTATCGCGAAATTGAAGCCAAATCTATAACAGAAGATTCTTTTAATTTGATGAGAATACATACATGCATCACTAATGAATTGTGTATGTTTATCCAGAACGCTAGCTTCTCTTCATGTTTCAACTTCCTTGGGTCGACTTCTTCCAGTCGACAGATAAGAGACCTATAACAGAACAATAATTTGATTAATACGTGATTAGATGCAAGAGGAGCAGAGGTCAAATGTTTGGTTGTGATGATTCCATGTTAGGAAACTGACCTGAAATTTTGTAGCAAGTTTTCAACATCAGCCATCTTTTTACTATCCCTTAAAATCCATTGCACTTCAAGCATTGAGCTATATGGTCCGCTAAACTCTTTGAGTCCTTCGATGTGGAAAGGGTTATCTAACCGTACGTCGAAAGATGAATTATTTCTGAACCCTGGACTCCACATGTCATGCTGATCTTGTGGGGAAAAAACACTAGCTGATGACATGGATGAATTGGGAGATGAACTACTGTTTTGGATCAATGGTGGGTCTGCAAGCTTGCAATATATAACAGAAATACACTTCATCATATCCTCCGAAAGCTTGTTTGGTGTGTCTGGGACATGATCAGATATTTGAGAGCCAAGATACTCGGCCA